GTAATATGCCTCACCGGTGGCGGATTTAAAGGTGAGTAGAGGAACTGATATGATTGGTGAAAACAGGTCTTAGCTGTGTTAAATCCACTCCATGCCTTATCCCCTCCCTCTCTACGTCTTATGCTGCTGGAAGGAGCTGAGTTAGGGTGGGGGGATACTTACGCCGGGCTGCGCTGCTCACCAAAACACCAAAATGTGCTTGGGCAAGCCTTGTCGGTGTGGCGCACCGGCCCTACGCCGCGCCTGCACCACGCCACCGGCAAGGCACGAAAATAGAGCCCTTGGTCTGAACCTGATGTAAGGCGCCCATTAGGAGCCATCCTACAATGACAATATTGAAGGACATGCCCACCTAGTTCCTCAATCAAGGACATGCCAACCAAGTCATTCTTTCAGGACTACCATTACCTCAAAATCTCACTGCTTTTCCTCCACTATGCACTTTGTTGATTTTGTGTGTCCTTGAAATGTGCTTGTACGAGTAAGTCCTTTGGTTTTGTTGAAAAGTCCCAGTTATTTTCTCTCCACAATGATGATGGCACTCAAAAGGAGAAAGAAAGTTTTATGTCTTTAGGACAACCATGACCAGAATGTAGATATCAGTGTATCTGAAACCTGGGGCCTATCCATCTACTGAGACTCTTTATAAATGCTCTAACCATTAGCTGTAAGTCTCACAGCAGGTAATAAAACATCAGCTAATGTACAGCTAATGGAAGCTAGTGCTGGTATTAATGGCTAGCCTCAAATATTTTTTGAAAGGCAAAACTTCTGGGTTGTTTTTCTCACGAAGCTGTGTGAAAAGTAGCACCCACAAGCTGTGTCTAACTTTATATAATTAGAAAATCACCCAGAGCGAGGCATGGACATCAGTATAATATAAATCAGGAGCTACTCTATAGGTGACCCAGGCTAACAAGTTGAAAAATAATAATTAGTATATTAGGTCTCCTGTGATCTCCACACAGAGGCACAAGATTTCCAATTAAATTTTCTGGTGATGCAATTCATTTTAAGTCCACAGTTAAGTCCACAGTTATCCCATCTGCAGCAATCTGGGCTGCTTAAAACAGCTGCTCTGGGTGGCTGTGTCTGTGGCCATAAACAATGCATTCACTCAAAGACTTAGGTTGTTGGGTTCTGAGTCAACAAGACTAGAAGTTAACTAACCATGCAGTTTGTTTGCATTATCCTTTTCAAGAGTTTTCTAATCCAAAACCAAATTGAACATAGACTTTCTAGTAACACAAGGCTATTAGAAATTAATGAAAAGAAAATAAGGGGGCTTCTGTGTAGAAGGGCAACAAGGGCATCTGTATAAAATGCTCCGGACCATGACAAAACTTACTTATGTTGGTGTAATCAGGATTTTACAGCAATTACATAGTTCCGTGCCAGTATCAAGGGTTACTGGCACATCTAGAACCTTTCCCTTCCATCTCCATCCTCTATCCGTCTGTGTCATTAAGTCTGAATCATCATGTCCCATTAGAGTCAGTAACACACAGCTGTTTCTGGGAGTCCCTGAGCTCCATCATGACATAGGTTCCTCTGGATTGTTTTCCTGCTGTGGACCTGCCTGCTTTCCAGCTGCTTCAACTTCTGGATCAACCTCACCTCTGTCCATCTCTCTATTTATGCATCTCCCTCTCTTCTCTCTAAACCAAATGCAGTAGTGGCATATGACTGTCTTTTATAAGGCTGATTCTGCTCTAAGTTTCTGCAAGTTAAAGAAAGTTTTTCATCTTCATTGTAGCTTTAAAAATGTTAAGTGTTTCACTCGTGGATAAAGATGGCGTTGGAGTGGATCTGATCTTACAAGATGGGGCTCAATCTCATCCCATCTTTACATTGGTGTAGAGTGTAGAGCAGCTTTTTTGCTAAACATCTTGGGATAACACTTGTGAATTGACACCATATAAATAAAGACTGATTGATCCACAAAATAGACCATTTCCTATGCAACACGGTGGAATAAAATAATCCAGGGTTAAAAAACACTGTAACATAAATTTGCTGGAGTCATAACAGCGGATTAATGCTTGTCTCATTTCTTAAATGAAAAGAAATAGAAGTAAGGTGAAAGAATAATAAGGGAATCAGTTTTCAGTGGTTAGCAGTGACAGCAGTTAGCAACATTAGCATGAGTCTTAAATGATGAAAATCATGGTTGAAGGGTTTAGTGATGAATGTTTTTTTTTTAATAAAAGACTTCTTCCCTAGCTAATGGCAGGTGCACGCTTGTCATTAAATATGGCTTACAGCAGCTATCTTCAAAAGGCAATCATACAAAATATGACCACAAGCTTGGATGGTGGGTGGTGAGATTTAGCCTTCAATGCCTCACAGCCAGTGAAGAGGAAAAAAATAAAAAAACTTGCTGCAGCACAAACTCGAAACAGAAGAATCAGTTCCATGATGATTAGTTAAACAAAGTACACAGATAAGATACTTCAGCTTGATATTGACCTGTGTTGATCTTAACCCTTTAATGCCTCATGTATCATATTTGATACATACTTTTATACACTTCTATCAAATCAATATGATCAACAAATTACTAAAAAAAAACAAAAAACACCTGAATACAGTGCAATAAATGATAAAAATGTCCTTTCATAGTTTATCAGTTTCCAAAAAACATATAATGTATTAAACAAGATAAATAAATATATTTGTTAAATTTTGACATTTTGATTTTTTTGGTCCTTAGTAGTTAATGAAATAAACATTTCAGCTTCAAAAAATGTGGATTTTCTGGCCATAATTTGTGGTGTCAGGCATTAAAGGGATACAAGTGGAGCAGATAAGTAAGAACAGAAAACAGCCATGACATTTATACATTCAGACATAAATACAAGTTCTGAAGTGCTTTTCGTTCTTTTACCAATTTTACGTTGTTATTGCTTTTTAAGTGCTTGTTGCCCTAATGCTTGCTCTACTACTAAAATTGTGTGTGCATTAGAGTTTAAGTATTGCACAGCCTCAGGATATGTGTTGTTCCTGAGGCGAGATGTCCAGCACTTAAGACTTTGGAATCTTCTTCTCAAGAGAAGGGCTTTGGAGAGAGAGCAGATGGGGAGAGAGGGATTGCTAATCATTGTCTGCACACTGCATCTGATGTAAAATGTGTACATTATCTCAAATAGCATCCACACTACTCTTTCCAAATACTAAATTGAAGTAGTGATGCAATGCACCATTCAGTCTCTGTCCTAAAACACCTGACACATGTACAGAGACAGATGTGACAAAAGCACAAAATACTGGCATTCTGTGTAGGGATAAGATGCTCCTGGGTTTGGGAAAACTTGAATTACAGCTGGCCTTCTGCACATGTAGGCCTTAGTAGTATCATAAAATGGCTGATTTAACTGCACAACATCTGCTAGCACAGACAACATGGTGGTAGAGCTTGTAATTAGTCATTCTTGTTGTGTTAACCGCTGCTGGTCAAAAACTGATTTTTTTTCTCGTTTGTTGTGACTGTATGAATCAGGAAAGAACATGCTAGGGGTGATAAGGGTAAATGAGTGGGTGTCTGTTTTGAAAAGTCCTATATTCTGCCCTTACACACTATAATAAGGTGTAAAACTACAACAGGGCAGAGGCATTAACAAAACTCCCCCCATGGGCACTCAGACCGAAGACCTCATATTTGACAATAAAACATATGGTAGCGAAAGGACTTAAAGGGCCCCCTCTCAATTATCTGGTCATTTATTACCAGTGAAGAGGGACCTACTGACTCTCCTGAAAGTCTTTTACAATAGCCTTTGTCTTTGCAGTGCTCTTTACCTCACAGGGCTCTCTAGTGCATCTATGTATGGGGCCAGTTTATTTCTTTGCCTTATGTGTAAAAGTTATGAGTCATCTGTGTAAATCTGAACAAACTCATGATGGGAGATCCACTTACAGAATAATGTGCAGATGTGTGTTTGCTGATGTCAAATTGAGGCTCTAGGTTTTTTTATGATGTGTCATTATGGAAAATTAATGAACTGAAGTCAACAAATGGTAAAAGGACAATTTAATCAACACCAACAAGCTGTAGCTGTCATTATAAGATGACATTTTCAGTCAAGCGGTTGCACGAGGTGGATTTTTTTCTTTATGTTTAACAGTTTGTATAGATTATTTTTGAAAACATAGTCATAGTCAGTGGCCCGAGGGCAGGAGCGGACTGGGGAGGGGAGGGTGGTCCGGGAGTCGTTGACAAAAAAGGCCCACTTCCTGCGCGGTGTGGGAAGACAACCAAACAGCAACACAATTTTTCTATACCATGAGGGAAAAAAAAAAACTAATTTGACATTGTTTTGGACCATAATAATATAGTAATCATTAACCTGAACCCTTAAGTAGCCTACAATAAAATAACTACAGCAATGAAGTGATTTAAAAGCATTTAGTGATTTTAATGCAAAACAACTAGAGGGCAACATAAATACAACCATAAGCCCATTTCAATAAAAATGTTTTCAAAAATAGATAAACAACGATGCTAACCACATAGTCTTTAACTTTAACTAACTGAAAAATATAAAAATGAGAATTAAATTGAAAATAGCCCACTGACTAAAAACTTGATTAAGGATCCAATAAATAATAAACAATAAACAAATGTAAAGAAGAACCTTTCCTGTTTTTTGATTGATGTTGACACAGTCCTGGGGGGGTCACAGTCCTCACTCTGGAGTCTCCTCTGGAACATACATACACACATACCTATAAAAGAAATATTGCTGAAGCTACAATATACAATACAGTTATAATATATAAGTCAAGGTGTATGTGAGTGAAGTTAGTCATGCCAGTGATGAAGGAGCTGCTATCTCAAGGATTAGTATAAGCCATGCAAAGAAAGCAGAAGAGTGGTTCTGTGTCTTCATTGTATGATAGCCATTTCCTGTTTGTACCATCTTTGCAAAAAAATGCTCTCTGCACTACAGGCTTGTCTGCCTTCTGCTGGGGGTGAAAATGTAGAAAAAAGTCTAGAGTGTCTAGCTTGGGCATGGTAAAATGATCCACTGCTGCATGGTGACTTCCTGACTATCCTGGCTATCTCTGACAGCAGGATCATCTTCAGACTACAAAAAGATTAGCATTGATAATTATGTTAGTAAACCATTAAAACTGCACTATCAACAAAGTTTAAGGATGGCAGTATTGGGGGTTAGTGCATGGGTTAGTACAAATGGCTAAATAGCAAACATGGCAAACAAGCATTATTGCCATTAGCCTTACCATAATAGTAACGCTGCTTTCGGGACGATCTCCTCTGTCCACATCTGGATCATTTTCAATCTACATAAGAAATTGGTTTTGTTAATCACGCTAGTTAACCTATAGAATTAATCATCAGTAAATATTTAAAAGAAATAGTTTAATACATGTAAAGTATGTACATGAGAAATTAATCAAGACATGGTAATACATTAATGAACTGTATCTTTTGGGCACATGAGCATATTATTTATTTCCTCCCCATGACCACTGTTGGCCTCCATACACACATTTCCATAGACACATTATAAACTACTCCTTCATGTATTATTTAGTATTCTAGTCAATTCAAAGACAACAGGTTGATTTCAACCATACAATGTAACAGTATCTACTGTTGTTGTTGTTATTATTATTGTTAGATTATTATTATTATTGTTATACATTAAATACTATAACTCAATGAATTTCAGATTCACACTAGGTTTTGCACTTGGCAGCATTACTAACATTAGCCAAATGAGCATTTTCACCTGTAGCATCTCCAAGTTTCAAACATAGCTTACCATCGTCACATCAGTGGTTTCTTGACCTGGCTCTGCTGCTCCATGCTCTGTCGTGTCAGAGGACTCGTCATCATTTTTGAATCTGGACGACTCAGGTGCAGGTGGTTTGGTCAGCTCACTCCTGCTGCTGCTGCTGCTTCTAGCTAAACCAGATGTCGATGCCAAACGCTGCGCAAACAGGTCACAATTTTTTTGACTTGGGCCGCATTTTCCTCGAGGGATTCTTTTTTTCTTCTCCCTCAATTTCTCTGCGCCACCTTTGTGTTTTTGCTTTCTGGGTTCCATCGGTGCCGATTACGCAATCTCCAAATCCTTCAACAACGCTGTCTGGTACTGTCCACCGTTCGAGCAGCGTGATTGACAGGTGACGCTGCCACAATCTGATCCGCCCTTGCCCGAGGGTCATTTCAGTTTATCTAATATTTTTTTTCTGCCTTGTTTTATGCTGGAAGTACATGTAATCACAAAAGCGAGACACCACCTCAAGCTGTTTGCTTTTGATTGTCAGGAAAACATGTCCTCATTTTTGATTAGCTGCATATCAAAAAATTATGTGCAAGTGTCCACAATGTGCGATTATGTGTGGTTTGGAATTTGTAATATGCAAGAGCTGATTTCCCACGCTAGTCATTAGTGTTTCCAATAAACCGTAGATTGGCCCAGTGCAGATACTTGGCTAGTCATTTGGGCTTAAGAATGACTCCTTTGGGTTGGAACGCAGCCACGCTGGTGAACAGCTATGTTGGTTTGTTTGTTTGTTTTGATCCACTCCTCAGCACAGCATGCTGCTTGGAAGACTATCCACAGGATTACATATACCATGAAAGTAGTTTAGTGGACTCACTGGAATCCCACCAAAGACTGCTGAGAGATGAGGTCTGCTAAGACTGCTCTGATTCAATTATTTATTTTGGCGCCGTGCTTTTGGATGTAAGTCCTTGCCAGGGAGAGAATTTCTGAGACACCTTTTTGAGTTTTCTTTGTCTTGAACAAAAAATGACTCAAATTCTTGGTAGAAAAGGACAGAAAAACACCTTAAATCACCTACAAAGAGGAGAAAAGAAACAAGGGTATTCTTTTGGACAGAAAAAGGACACTAAAAAGTTGTTGTTCTGGATGTTTTGCAGCTGTGACTGAGGATGACCTTTCTGCATAGCACAGTGCTATTATTGGGATTTTCCCTCTGCAGTGTTTTCAAACTTTTTCTCTGTGTGATTGTCCTGAATGTGCCCTTGAGTAGAGCAGTCGACAGCAGACGCTGCAGAGATCCTCCCTGTTAAAGTGTATTTAATTATTAATGCTGGCCCTCCATACTGGCAGAACTCCAGGCTGCCCGTGGACGGCCACCACATTTCACTAACTCACTGCCATGAATTATTCTCCAAGAACATGCTCACACTCACAGACATGCCTGTACACAAACACACGTGGAGGAGGAGGCATGAAACCCACAGTGGACATATGGAGCCAAGTTGCCTCACCTACAAAATAAAATATGCACACATGCACACAAGCACACACAAACACACACATACTACGTTACTAACGATGCAATGCCTCCAGTGAAGCACAGGCCATTTGCAGTATTTATCATGTAGGTAAACACATAGAAACGCAGTACTTATGCAGGAATCCACACACATAAACCTACATACAGAGGCAAGTGTGCTCTCCCACACACTTCTATGTCCCCCATGTATGTTATCTGGTGCACACTACACACACATTACACACAGTTCACCAGATGCACAATGGATCCCCAAGCACACACAGGCCATTTGCAGTATTTCTTCTATTCAGTGTGTTCCGTCCAGCTGTCAGCAGGCTGTCTGTGAGCTCAGTTGCCAGGCAAACAGCCCCACCTCCTTCCAACAATAAAATATGCCTTTAAAATGTCACTCTTTCCCGAAAGAGCAAAAGCAGAGGCAACAAATCGATTCACATTAGTTGTTCAATTGACTTTGGCCTGAACTTAGCTCCCACTCTCCCATTTGTCTCAAGCACATTCTTTCTTCTCCCCTTCTCCTCCTTTTTTTCCTTTCTATCTTTCTTCTGTTGTTCTTTCTACATATTTACCCTCTGTATCCCTCCAGCAGCCCTTCACTTTGTCCCCACCTCATCACCTGCTTTGTCATCCTGCTTTTTCCCGTTTACAGGTTCATGTATCTCACCACCTCCCCTCCATCTTACTTTTTCTCACCTCCTCTCTATCTCCTCCTCCAGCTAATCTAAGAGAATGAATGCGGCGGCAGTGGCGGCACAACTCCTATTCACTCTCCTTGCCGACCACCGCCGAAGCAGCACTCATTTCAATTTTCACCTCGTTTTAGACTTATCACATTGACATCATTAAGGCTCCCTCTCAGCAGTGCACTCATTCGTTATCCTCTCCATTTTACACCTTTCTATCTCTCTCTCCCTCTGTTTGTGTGTATCTCCCTTTCTCCTGCCCTCCTCTCTCTCCCTCCTTATCTGTCTCGCTCATTGTCAGAGGATTTAAAAGGCTCTCTATTCGAGAGCGGTGAGTGTCTGGGCTTTGGTTTTTCATCCCAGTGACAGAAACCTGTTGGAGCCTCCTTATTCAGAATGAAAGAGTTGGACATTTTTTGCCTCTTAAAAGGGATAGCAGGGAGCAGGGTTGGGCTTGTAAAATCTGAAAAAGTGACACGTGGCTCATTCCATTTGCTCATTTCAAAAGTGATAATATTTTTTTTCCTAATTTGACCTTGGAGAGCCAGTTTTGATTTGAATTTGAAGAGAAACCCAGTGGAGGAGTTCAACTGGTGAATCTATGAAAAAATAGTGAGATGAAAATTGAGATCCAATTTAAAATCTGAATTAGGAAACAGCTGTAATACTGTACTGACATATTTAACTACTTGGGGGGGGGGGGGGATGTGTGCACCAATGAAAAGAGTAAACTGAAGACATAGCTAAAGGGACGATTTGGTTTTTGAGGTGGGGTTGTCCGATGTACGTTTAAAGTGATTGTATTACCCACAGGAGATGTTGGTCAGCTTGGTCTCATTGTTGATAGAACAGCTAGAAACCAGAAAGGAAGCAAGGCTATCAACCCCTGCAAATGTGATCAACTCTACCCTGTCATTTAGCTGAGTACCTATAACAAACACCAACTGAAGCGCTATTTTTAATTAAGTGTGCTGATTTGTTTCAGCTTTGTCCTCAGAAAGCCTTTTCCTTTCTTACAAATGTTAACTTAATGATCAGCTGAGCTTCTCTGATCTATGACGGTGAGACGCTGAAATACTGTTGTTTTGATATTTTGTGTTGAAATGAGTTCTTATGTGTGTGTGATAATCCAAACTGTTAAACACTGAAGAAAAAGCTGGTGATATACACAATGCAAAGTGTGTGTTGCTTAATGCTGTGACTTGGTGGACTGGAGGGATGCACAATACGTGCAACATGGGCACTTGTTTGGAGAAAAGGGAAGTGACAGACAGCTTAGTTATTGGTGAAAACATTGCAAGTTCATATAACAGCATGCTTCTGGAGCTCTCTAGGTGCCAGATCAAGAAAAAAAGCTATGAGCCAAATAGCAAGACAGTCTGGCTACAGATCTTCACTGTGAGCACCCACTCCACTAAGCAGACTGGAAGTTGATTCAAAGCCTTTCAAAATAAAAGCAAATATATCAGAAGTATCAGAAGTTTTTTTTTTTTTTTTATTTTTTTTTTAATGTTGGAAGATGATTTGAAGCCTTTCAAATTAAAAGCAATTGGACCGGGAAGTATGTGTATTTTGTCTTATGTGAATATATTTTATTTATTGGGGCTTTATTTTATGGATATAATGTTAAGGTGATTTTTTTGTGTGCATTCATGTGTTCAACAAAGAGAAAATACAAAAAAGGAGGGTCCGAGGGTTATTCTACAGATAAAAAGTAATGTACAGATTTTGTCATGATCACCTTAAAACATTAATTATTTTACTTGTTTTCGAATTTAATCAGCAAAACGGACAGCTGGTAGTTTAGTTTCCAATTCAGACACCTTGATATGTGTGATGGCATAATGTATATCTACACTCCAACTGCTGACTCTTTCTTGCTTGTATAGCATTTATCATTGAAAATGTCACCTGCACTTTTGGACTCATTTACATATCTCCTGACTATCTTCACGGCAAAAACAAACTGAAGCGCGTGAGAAAAAACATCAGCCCGGGTCCTCTCTGTGGAGCAGGTCCTCACGGTGGACGTCTGCAACAAAGGGTCCTGACAGTGCAGGTCTACAGCCAGACCCCTCTCCCAAATTGTGCACAAGCATTTGCAATCTGGGTGCAGAAATTGTTATCCATAATCAAGGCTTGGTACAAATGTTTTTTTCTTACCTTGTCACCTCAGGGACCTTTACATTTTATCAACAGGCCTAACCTGTCTATAGGAGACAGGGGTTACCCACTGAAACCCTGGCTTATGACTCTACAAGCCCATCACAAACAATAGGAGCTGGCTTATAATGACACCCAATAAGGGCCCAGACTTTTAGAGCACACCAATGGTGTTCCAAAGGCAGTGTCACACCCATTTTCTTCATTTCACCTCACCTAAAATAACTCTTAACTCAGCGTCTGAGGGTTTTTCCTTTCTCTCTCCCCCCATCTGTTGCTTTCTTTCTTGCTCTCTTATAAGGTGTTCATTGGCCATTCATAGGCAGGGATTTGTGCTGATTGTGGCCAGTGGGAGTCCTCTGTCACTTTACCATTGACGGGCGTTCATGAACTTTCACATGTGCCTATGATCAAATTCAAGTGCTCCACTGTGTTAAAGAAATCTGTCATTGGTTTTTAGAATTGTGTGCACATGTACACATAAATTTACTGACATTTCGTGAATGAGACCCAATGTGGATCATTGGTTAAATGCAGTTAAAGATTTAATGAGAACCTAACACTTAAAAGATGCACTTTTTTGATGACCTCTGAGTATTAAAGAGTTTTTTTTCAACTCTTTAGTATTTTAAAATGATTTTCAGATCAAAAATAGCCTCAAATATCTCACAGTATTGTGTTAAAATATTATTTCAGCCTATACTCCACGAGTATGGATACTTTCTTCTGATTGGTCACCTCTTCTGAGTCTTTCATGACGCTGGCCAAGGGCAGAGCTTGATGTTTTGGCCCCGTCCCCTCTACTGTGTTTAATCAGTAGATCAGCGGAGCAGGGTTACCTCGCGCTGCTGTGGGTGTCGCCTCATACGCTGTTGGAGGCAGGCCATTTTGCTTTGCCTGAAGCACATATGAACCAGTATGGTGAGCCTATA